GCTTCACGTGGATGATTATAATATCTATAGCGCTCAGCGCGTGGGCATGGTCGCATTAGAGATAATGAAGGGAGACATGAAAGACTGGACATCGCGTTGGTTTCATATGATTACTTTATCACAGAATATTTGCTTTCGATAAGACTTGCTTAGTTTAAAAGTAGACATGTCAAGCTTTCTATAGATATATCTCTCATGTCTCTTTGTTGAGTATTTGCTGAGTTACAGTTCATTTTAATGACGCGTTTCTAAATAAAGATCACGCAGACCAAGGCGGCAGACAGCGCACCCTGTTTGTTTTCTTTATTTTATAAATGCACAAAGTTTTGTTGTTATTATGTGTGTACACAAATAAAAGTAGACCATTTACAGATTTGATTGATGTATTGCTCTTATCTGTAAGATCAGAACTGAAAGTGTAATTTAAGTTCTTTTTGGTGTTATCAGGAGAAGATGCCACGAAACGCGTATCCGCATTAGTCGACCCCAAAGGGTTAACTGGACCGGACACCGCGAGACCAGCAAAATGTCTTAAAATACACGGGTAGCTACTGTGAGGAGCACGGAGCGAGGAACGAAGAGACCAGGAGTACAAACAGAGGAGTTTAATTCTTTTTTTCAGGGAATCACACATAGCACAAGGAATTGACAAACAATTCCAGACAAGAGAGAACAGAACGGGCTAGAACTAAATAGGACAGATAACGAGGGGTAGACAGGTGATGGGGATAACTAACAACAAGGAACAGGTGATACTAATAATGAGAAAAGGAACTGAAAGGACCAAATAAGGACAACTGGAACTAAACGGGAACATACACATGACAAGTTTTCATATTTGGTGACTAATTTTGAAATATTTTACAGAGCGACTGTAATTTATTAATTTGCAAGAAGAATTCCATTATTAACGCTTTATGCTTTTATATTTTATTTTTATTTGTTGTCTGTAATCACTTTGATCTTATCACTGTATGGTTTAAACTTGTGTTACCTTTTGTCTGTAATCAGTTTGATGTTATCAGTGTATGGTTTAAACTTTGACACCTTCATAAAGTTGTAATTATATTTTTGTCTGTAATCATTTTAAAAAATGAATGCCGGATACATCAGTGATACATCGATAGCTATTCCTTCATTCCGATGGCACTGTCCAAGATGCCCGCTGCTCTAAACTTGACAACAACGGAAAAAAGCTACTTTCCCCATCATTTCAACTGGCGTGAAAATGAGAGGTATGTGGGCCCCTACCCCAACAAAAAGTTTTATGGGTATGAAAACATGTCCAATAAAGACCAGTCCAAGTTTGATGCGTGGTACAACACTGTGAAGGGTAAGGTCTTCTGCTTCAGGGATGAGCTGCGTGAGTACGGAGTGAACGCTGTTGTCATATTACGGGAGGCTTGCATGAAATACCGAGAAGCGTTCATAGAGTGTACCGAACTTGATCCGTTCAACTGTACAACACTTGCTATCTGTTGTATGGGGGTAATCAAGATGTAATATCTCACCAGAGACACTTTGGCTCTGACATATAATAACACATACGTCCAGCAGAGTAAGACTTACTCAAACATTTCAATCCAATGGATAGAATATATAAAAAAGACCCGAAACGTCTACAGTCACCACACTCTAAACAACTGTGAAATGCAAATCGGTTGTTACTTTTTAGATGGCTACTACGAACAGAATGGAGCGATGCACGCCTTAGAATACTGTGGCTGTGTCCATCATGGTCATGAATGTCACTTCGACCGAAAGAGGGAATCCAACTTAACCCCCAAAAAAATCAGTCACAACCCCGACCAGAGGTCTATCAATAAGCTGCTTCTTAACTCCCTTTGGGGGAGATTCTCTATGAGGGAGAATTTACCGCAAACCCTGCTCGTGAGAGACCCTGAAGATTTCGCACAAATAATTTTTGGTAAAACCGACGTCCTGAAACATTTCTTGGATGACGTGGCACTCGTCCAGCATTGTCGTCCCGAAGGGGACGTTTGCGAGACTTGCGCCATTAACGTGTTTATAGGGGTGTTTGCGACGGCTCACGCCCAGTTGGAGACTTGATGGACAGACTCGGTGACCAGGTGTTATACTCTGATACCGACTCTGTTATATTCATGTCTAGGGACGGCGACTGGATACCCCCTCTGGAAGACCATTTGGGGGCCAAAATCTTATGGCTATCGCACCACCAAAGGAAAAGTGTGCATGAAGGCTAAAGGTATACCTCTGAATGCTAAAAATTCCAAAAAATTCCCAAGCTATCCGATTAGATACTCTGATTGGTCTGGTTACCGGCTATGTGACATCTCACGACGAAACA